TATGGGATATGCCAAAAACATCTGGCGATTTCAACAGCTTACGAAACTTTTACGACACCTTAGAAAGTTATATTCGTGGGCTCAGTTCGCTCGGAAAATCCGAAGAATCCTATGGCGATCTACTAGTACCTATCGTCATGGAAAAGTTGCCGCCAAATACACGAAAACAGATTGCGCGGGAACATGGGAATAACGAATGGAATCTACCCGAACTTCGTCAAGCCATCCATAACGAGATGGACGCTCTACAAGCTCGATTCTCCGCCGATCTTCATGACCGCGAATTGTACACAGAAACCCCGGTAACTGCGGCATTCTACACGGGAAGTGACCCGGTCACTTCACGGAAATCGATCCGAGCGAGACCGACTAAATCTATCGTATGTGCGTACTGCAAAGATGCCCATCCGTCGATACATTGTAATGTTGTGACTGACTACAATAAACGCCTCGAGATAATAAAACGCGATGTTTCAACTGTCTCGGTAAACATAAAGTTACGAACTGCCAATCTAAATTCAGTTGTCGCGTCTGCAGGAGAAAACATCACACTTCTCTATGTAAGGGAACCTCTACGAGTAACGACACGAGCTCCGCTACTCCAGTAACTCAAACACACGTGAACTTTACTACTACCGCGAATACCGCGTCGCATAATAGACCCGTTTTATTGAAAACCGCCGTAACTGAAGTATCCGCGGGTAACGAAACTGCAACGGCTACGATATTATTCGATGAATGGGCCACGCGATCTTTCGTAACTACAAACTTCGCCGATAACTCAATGCACAAACTGACAAATGTGAAGTCATTAACTTAGCAACGTTTGGTGATAATGGTTCACGTGCTAGATCGTTTAATGTCTCTACGCTTGCAGTTCACACCATTACAGGAAAGAAAAAGAACATTTCCGCACTCGTTGTTCCAAACATCTCCACTCCCACAAAGAACTTGATCACTTCGTCCCTATTGGAATTACCTCATCTACGCAATTTGAACTTAGCCCACCCCATTTCAGGAAGCGAATCCTTTGAAATATCGATTCTCATTGGCGCAGATTACTACTGGGATTTCGTGGGAGACCACATTGTTCGTGGACCCGGTCCAACTGCTGTATCGTCCATACTTGGATATTTACTTTCCGGTCCCATTCAAGGATACAGACCTAAAAGTGTATTTGCCAATGACGCAACTATTCTACACACTACTACTATTCCGTCTGTTGTAAACGATCAACTCCAGGATTACTGGAAGCTCGAGACAATCGGCATCACTGATAATACCCAACCTCCAGTAATGAACACAGACTTCGAACATTACAGAGATAATCATCTCAAAATCGAAAACGGACGGTACACTGCGGGGTTACCGTGGAGACAAGACCACCCTCCTCTGCCGACTAACTTTCGTATTGCAGAGAAACGCACTCGCGCTATGACTCGTAAACTTCCACCGCATTTGTTACAAACATATGATGGAATCATTAAGAACCACAAAGCGCGGAATTTCATTGAAGAAGTTACTGACGACGATAACCTTCGCGGACCACTGAAACCGGAAATTACCCGCCGTACACCAGCTACAACCGCTGCTGCGATTGCCCGACTACGCATACAGAACATAAATGACATATGAACTATGAACTGAATATACCGAACATTTTATACTTAGCTTATTGTGACAGTTTGTGACTGTGTTGATTTTACGAATTTTCGAACTTTTCTATTTACTCGCATTTAATCGATATCTATCCTGAATTGTATTTTATCTTCGCATATATTTACTTTCGTATTTTACTTCAAATTTTCGTTTACATGGCTATCTTTTATTTCGCGGCCCGGAGAAATATCGGAAATATAACTAGCCGAGCTTGATGTCGATTTAGGATTCTGCTTACAAATAATTTAGCCAATCATAGTACGTTAATTTTAGCCAATAAAACAACCTCATTAATAGTTATTTACCTATCAGCTCGTTTCCCTATTACCCAATCATGTACAAGGCCAAAGTCACTTTCCGCCAAAATGCAAGGAATGTAAACTTGTGTATATAAGTGGGTGTTTTGACACATCACAGCAGGAGTTTCAATAAAGTCATCTGTTATAGTGTACACCAGTTCGTCTCTTGTTATCCATCCCTGAACCTTATCTTAACAATTACACACATTGTTTTGGTGCCGAGACCAGGATTCAAGATGACCGAACGACCAACTCTTTCCAAACTGAAGGGAACTCGCTCAGCGCATCGTGGACAGATGACGAAGCTCCTGAAAAAGGCTGACGAAAACGTCAACGTTTTCCCCCAAGACAACATCGAAGGTGCGTTAGACTCACTCACTGCTATCCATAACTTGATCTCATCGAAGTACGAAAGTCTTATCAACCTCGACAAACAAATAGTCGAACAGACGGAAGAAAACAGCTTGGAGGCGACTATCACCGAATCTGACGATTACCTGACCGATATATACGAGAAAAAACATATTTTATCTCGATTTATCGAAAGAAAGTCGCGAGCTGATACAAGCCCACCGGCAAGCCCTGCTGTCCCCGCTGCTGCATCAACCAGTTCAGCAGTCACCATTGCCGCTTCATCCACCCAACCTAACAGAACCATAAACCTACCAAAGTTATCGCTGCCAACATTCAACGGAGATGTTCTGAAATGGGTGAGTTTTCGAGATGCATTTTATTCCGCAGTTCACAACAATCCCAATCTCGAAAAGATTCAAAGGTTTCAGTACCTACACGCTCAATTGTCCGACGAAGCCGCTCACACTATTGAAGGATTGACACTAACAAATGAAAACTATGATCACGCAATCGACCTACTTGAACAAAGATATGGACGGAAACACAAAGTAATAAGTGCTTACATGAAAGCTTTATGGGATATGCCTAAACCATCTGGCGATTTCAACAGCTTACGAAACTTTTACGACACCTTAGAAAGTTATATTCGTGGGCTCAGTTCGCTCGGAAAATCCGAAGAATCCTATGGCGATCTACTCGTACCTATCGTCATGGAAAAGTTGCCGCCAAATACACGAAAACAGATTGCGCGGGATCATGGAAATAACGAATGGAATCTAGCCGAACTTCGTCAAGCCATCCATAACGAGATGGACGCTCTACAAGCTGGATTCTCCGCCGATCTTCATGACCGCGAATTGTACACAGAAACCCCGGTAACTGCGGCATTCTACACGGGAAGTGACCCGGTCACTTCACGGAAATCGATCCGGGCGAGACCGACTAAATCTATCGTATGTGCGTACTGCAAAGATGCCCATCCGTCGATACATTGTAGAGTTGTGACTGACTACAATAAACGCCTCGAGATAATAAAACGCGATCGTTTATGCTTCAACTGTCTCGGTAAACACAAAGTTACGGACTGCCAATCTAAATTCAGTTGTCGCGCCTGCAGGAGAAAACATCACACTTCTCTATGTAAGGGAACCTCTACGAGTAACGACACGAGCTCCGCTACTCTAGTAACTCAAACACACGTGAACTTTACTACTACCGCGAATACCGCGTCGCATAATGGACCCGTTTTATTGAAAACCGCCGTAACTGAAGTATCCGCGGGTAGCGAAACTGCAACGGCTACGATATTGTTCGATGAAGGGGCCACGCGATCTTTCGTAACTACAAACTTCGCCGATAAACTCAATGCACAAACTGACAAATGTGAAGTCATTAACTTAGCAACGTTTGGTGATAATGGTTCACGTGCTAGATCGTTTAATGTCTCTACGCTTTCAGTTCACACCACTACAGGAAAGAAAAAGAACATTTCCGCACTCGTTGTTCCAAACATCTCCACTCCCACAAAGAACTTGATCACTTCGTCCCTATTGGAATTACCTCATCTACGCAATTTGAACTTAGCCCACCCCATTTCAGGAAGCGAATCCTTTGAAATATCGATTCTCATTGGCGCAGATTACTACTGGGATTTCGTGGGAGACCACATTGTTCGTGGACCCGGTCCAACTGCTGTATCGTCCATACTTGGATATTTGCTTTCCGGTTCTATTCAAGGATACAGACCTAAAAGTGTATTTGCCAATGACGCAACTATTCTACACATTGCTACTAATCCGTCTGTTGTAAACGATCAACTCCAGGATTACTGGAAGCTCGAGACAATCGGCATCACTGATAATGCCCAACCTCCAGTAATGAACACAGACTTCGAACATTACAGAGATAATCATCTCAAAATCGAAAACGGACGGTACACTGCGGGGTTACCGTGGAGACAAGACCACCCTCCTCTGCCTACTAACTTTCGTATTGCAGAGAAACGCACTCGCGCTATGACTCGTAAACTTCCACCGCATTTGTTACAAACATATGATGGAATCATTAAGAACCACAAAGCGCGGAATTTCATTGAAGAAGTTACTGACGACGATAACCTTCGCGGACCACTGAAACCGGAAATTACCCGCCGTACACCAGCTACAACCGCTGCTGCGATTGCCCGACTACGCATACAGAACATAAATGACATATGAACTATGAACTGAATATACCGATCATTTTATACTTAGCTTATTGTGACAGTTTGTGACTGTGTTGATTTTACGAATTTTCGAACTTTATATTTACTCGCATTTAATCGATATCTATCCTGAATTGTATTTTATCTTCGCATATATTTACTTTCGTATTTTACTTCAAACTATCGTTTACTTTGTTCAACTTTTTGTTCATTTTCGTTTACATGGCTATCTTTTATTTCGCGGCCCGGAGAAATATCGGAAATATAACTAGCCGAGCTTGATGTCGATTTAGGATTCTGCTTACAAATAATTTAGCCAATCATAGTACGTTAATTTTAGCCAATACAACAACCTCATTAATAGTTATTTACCTATCAGCTCGTCTCCCTATTACCCAATCATGTACAAGGCCAAAGTCCCTTTCCGCCAAAATGCAAGGAATGTAAACTTGTGTATATAAGTGGGTGTTTTGACACATCACGGCAGGAGTTTCAATAAAGTCATCTGTTATAATGTACACCAGTTCGTCTCTTGTTATCCACCCCTGAACCTTATCTTAACAATTACACACATTGTTTTGGTGCCGAGACCAGGATTCAAGATGACCGAACGACCAACTCTTTCCAAACTGAAGGGAACTCGCTCAGCGCATCGTGGACAGATGACGAAGCTCCTGAAAAAGGCTGACGAAAACGTCAACGTTTTCCCCCAAGACAACATCGAAGGTGCGTTAGACTCACTCACTGCTATCCATAACTTGATCTCATCGAAGTACGAAAGTCTTATCAACCTCGACAAACAAATAGTCGAACAGACGGAAGAAGACGACTTGGAGGCGACTATCACCGAATCTGACGATTACCTGACCGATATATACGAGAAAAAACATATTTTATCTCGATTTATCGAAAGAGCTGATACAAGCCCACCGGCAAGCCCTGCTGTCCCGCTGCTGCATCAACCAGTTCAGCAGTCACCATTGCCGCTTCATCCACCCAACCTAACAGAACCATAAACCTACCAAAGTTATCGCTGCCAACATTCAACGGAGATGTTTTGAAATGGGTGAGTTTTCGAGATGCATTTTATTCCGCAGTTCACAACAATCCCAATCTCGAAAAGATTCAAAGGTTTCAGCACCTACACGCTCAATTGTCCGACGAAGCCGCTCACACTATTGAAGGATTGACACTAACAAATGAAAACTATGATCACGCAATCGACCTACTGGAACAAAGATATGGACAGAAACACAAAGTAATAAGTGCCTACATGAAAGCTTTATGGGATATGCCTAAACCATCTGGCGATTTCAACAGCTTACGAAACTTTTACGACACCTTAGAAAGTTATATTCGTGGGCTCAGTTCGCTCGGAAAATCCGAAGAATCCTATGGCGATCTACTCGTACCTATCGTCATGAAAAAGTTGCCGCCAAATACACGAAAACAGATTGCGCGGGATCATGGAAATAACGAATGGAATCTACCCGAACTTCGTCAAGCCATCCATAACGAGATGGACGCTCTACAAGCTGGTTTTTCCGCCGATCTTCATGACCGCGAATTGTACACAGAAACCCCGGTAACTGCGGCATTCTACACGGGAAGTGACCCGGTCACTTCACGGAAATCGATCCGGGCGAGACTGACTAAATCTATCGTATGTGCGTACTGCAAAGATGCCCATCCGTCGATACATTGTAAAGTTGTGACTGACTACAATAAACGCCTCGAGATAATAAAACGCGATCGTTTATGCTTCAACTGTCTCGGTAAACACAAAGTTACGGACTGCAAACACACGTGAACTTTACTACTACCGCGAATACCGCGTCGCATAATAGACCAGTTTTATTGAAAACCGCCGTAACTGAAGTATCCGCGGGTGGCGAAACTGCAACGGCTACGATATTATTCGATGAAGGGGCCACGCGATCTTTCGTAACTACAAACTTCGCCGATAAACTCAATGCACAAACTGACAAATGTGAAGTCATTAACTTAGCAACGTTTGGTGATAATGGTTCACGTGCTAGATCGTTCAATGTCTCTACGCTATCAGTTCACACCATTACAGGAAAGAAAAAGAACATTTCCGCACTCGTTGTTCCAAACATCTCCACACCCACAAAGAACTTGATCACTTCGTCCCTATTGGAATTACCTTATCTACGCAATTTGAACTTAGCCCACCCCATTTCAGGAAGCGAATCCTTTGAAATATCGATTCTCATTGGCGCAGATTACTACTGGGATTTCGTGGGAGACCACATTGTTCGTGGACCCGGTCCAACTGCTGTATCGTCCATACTTGGATATTTACTTTCCGGTCCCATTCAAGGATACAGACCTAAAAGTGTATTTCCCAATGACGCAACTATTCTACACACTACTACTAATCCGTCTGTTGTAAACGATCAACTCCAGGCTTACTGGAAGCTCGAGACAATCGGCATCACTGATAATGCCCACCCTCCAGTAATGAACACAGACTTCGAACATTACAGAGATAATCATCTCAAAATCAAAAACGAACGGTATACTGCGGGGTTACCGTGGAGACAAGACCACCCTCCTCTGCCTACTAACTTTCGTATTGCAAAGAAAAGCACTCGCGCTATGACTCGTAAACTTCCACCGAATTTGTTAAAAACATATGATGGAATCATTAAGACCAGAAAGTGCGGAATTTCATTGAAGAAGTTACTGACGACGATGACAAACGCGGACCACTGGAACCGGAATTACCCGCCGTACACCAGCTAGAACCGCTGCTGCGATTGCCCGTCTACGCATACAGGACATAAATGA